TAATGCTGCTGTGTTTCGTGTGTTGAGTGTAGAGAACCGGAGACCTATTTAATCGGAAACGAGGCATACCGTCTTAGTCCTCAGGGGTGACAACGCATTTGCATTTTGATTCTTAATTGAGGATAAAAATGTGAATGTCTATGGGCCACAGCATTCCTTGCCATCGAGTGGACTGTGTGCTCGTTTGTCACCAATTCAATAAACAAAGTAAATTCTAGCGATGACTACGACGTAAGCGACACGGTTATTGGAGGCTTCGGATACGAAATATCGAGATATATATACCTACCGTAAGTTTTTTATTCGCTTTTCTATTATACTCTAACTCTAACTCATTTTAATCTCTTGTAACTATACAAAGCGACTAATGACCCGTCCTAGCTATACCTGGGTAGGATTTATTGTGGTGCCATCTAGATTTAAGTTTATCAAAGACGTTTAAAAAAAAAAGTTATTAATTTTTCGTTTTAAAAAAAAGGTTTTGCTGTTAAAAACCTACATCACTCCTGGTACTACTTTCTATCTGTCCTTTCAGTTTCATTACGATTGGTTCAGTCATTTCGAAGATTAGAGAAAGAGAGGAGGCCTGTGCTCAGATTTGGGACGAATTTACAGATGGTAGAGCCACGTTGCAGCCATATTATGGTTGTAGCACGAATGGGTCGGCTCTATCGGGGTATGACCACTTTCTCACAGAACACAAGTTTATAAAATAGCCGCTCAATGCTACTATGTTTCTTTACCAGGAAACTAAGCATTCCATCTCAGTCTTCAGGGGTGACAACGCATCTGCATTTTGGTTCGTAATTGAAGATAAATGTAGATGTCTATGGGTCACCCTTATTCTATAAAAAGACAATAAAGCGTATCGGGTTTAAATTACTAAAGAAATGGGGTAAGGGGATTAAAATATATTCAACAATAACAGATTAATTTTGGATACTAACTAGAAAATCGTAGATTCGAAGTTTTGCAGGGGTGACAAACGCGCACACAATCTAACTGATGGTAGGTAGATACTATTGCCTATAGCCGCCTGCATTTATCATCGATTACCGATCAAAATGCAGAATGTTTTGTCACCCCTGAGAACTAAGATGGAAAGCCTCGTTTGCAGTCAAAACGATTTCCAGTTCTCTAAACTTCTCTACGAGCGTGGTCCTGCCCCGGTTGAGTAGACCCATTCGTATTACAACCATATTATAGCCGCAGCGTAGCTCTATAACGTTATAAATTAGTCTTACGCAGATTTATTTATTTGGACAATATTTTATACTTAGATTTTTAAACCCATAACTGTTTAACGTTGTTTACAGTATGTGCGTGCGCGCTCACACTGCCAGAGGCCATCGCGTGGTGACAGCGCCTAATTGCAGTCACCAGCCGACCTTGCGCGATTCACTCTTGACCACTCTAGCGGAACGGACCTACATAGCGTCTTGTTGCACTAGGATCATTAACTCGTTTCTAGGAATACTCACGCTAAAACGTCGATAATTAGTTAGTCATTAAAGAGCCTACAATTTTTTAAAAGGCCGGCAACGCACCTAGAATTCCCCTGGTGATGAAGTTGTTCATGGGCGCCGCGAAACCAAGTGATACAATTAAAAGTTTTGTACAATCGACTTGAATATAAATAAAACGACAACATACATGATCAATGTATTCGAAGTCAATTAAATACTCATTATTAAGGATATCTCTAAAACTACTGGTCAGGTCTTGATCCAATTTATATGGAATAAAAAATCCTCATAATCGATTCACCTTGAAAAAAGTTCTGAGGTAACATACATAAAAAACATACAGTCGAATTGAGTACCTCCTTCTCCTTTTGAAGTCGGTTAAAAACCATCTCTTACAAAAAAAAATAGGTGCCCGTCTTACAACTTACTTCTCGTCGCCATTTGTTTCTTTTTGCGCCTGAAGCAAATATGGCAACCCTCCGGAAAGCGGGGGAGGGAGGAGGGGAATGCTCATAGCATACCACGCAGCCGCCTGCGTGGTTATGTGGAGACTTTTACCCACTAAACCCCACCTTTAGGGATTGGCTTACTGATCTGACGAGAGAACCCTAAGCCGTACACGGACGCGACCCTCCTTGGCAGAAAGGAGGGCGTAAGTCGCCATTTGTAAAAAATATTGTTTTTATAGTCCCTTTAAACCACCCCTGGTAAGCTGAAAATACTTGTGTTAGCAGTGGCTCGCAACAATACGGACGGCGGATTCGAACCCACGACCTTTGCGCTAGCATTGCGCACCCTGCCATTAGGCTGCTGTCGCATCAGGCATTACTATCCACGAAAATATTACAATGGGACACCGTCGCACATTCTCATGATTTTTATTCTCTACTTCAATGAAGTCTCGATATTAACGTGCCGTTGTACAGGAGGGTATCCTGTCACTCACCTTTAAAACTTATATCGTTGTTTTCATCAAACATGGGTGTTATGAGAGGCGACAGAGGGAAACAAAGCAGGAGATTGGTTGTAACGTCTTCTATTGCAACTGTTGTGGCAACTATGGCAAATATCCATGACAATCTATTGGGAATGACTTTGTTCGGGAATGGAGTTTCAGGCTGTAACGGAAGCATACGGAGTTCAATCGATACATCATGTGCTAATTACTCTTTTTACGAATGTTTATTTAACAAGCTAATATTTTATTTGCTTGTTAAATAAACATTTCGTCTAACGGTATTAACAGAGTATGAACCTTTGTCTCGTACCGAGTTGAACACAAGTTTTTTCACTTTCAACGTATGTGCATTTACAAAAGTACTTGCTCTCCCCTAAATTTCACGTTTAGAACTTTTTGGCTTCATGTCTCCTCAAACTAGCTTGAACGCAAAAACGTTTGCTGCGTCTGGGAATTAATTCAAGATTCATAACTCGGTAGATAGGACTCTAACTCATTACTTTTTTAATTCTATACTCACAATGATTGTATACTTATAATACTTTTTGAACTCGTAACAATTGTGTTGTTTTGTCCTAGATGGTTTCGAAAACAAGGCACTCAGCCGTCGTAAAATGCTACAAGATACGTTAACAATTGATTAATTTAGCACTTAACAGTGTTTTTATTGCTTACATATCCTCTGCTTGGTTTTGTACAAAGATATTTAAATATAGGTAGTAGTAATAGACCGGACATCAGCAACTAAATTGTCGTCTGTAACTTTTGTCCTATAGGATATATCTACGATTTTTGTCATTTAGTCTAAGTGACATCGTCAAAAGGTCAAGACGCATTCATTTTATAAATTTAAAAATATTTTTAAAGAAAATATGCCTGGTTGTTAATTAAAGTTTTGTAAATCACTATATGGAGCAAAAAATGAACGTGATTACGGTTTATTATCGTAAGAATAATGTGTATTTACCAAATAATCTTTAAATTTTATTATTTCTAATAGATTGTTCGAGAAGAAAGAAAAATTATTGTAATAAGTGCCCTCTGTTATCCAGTAACGTCACTATTTATTTACAAATATGTTAGTGATTAACGATGTGCCTACAACGGGTTTTAACCTTATGTTTAGTAGTGTCACCTACTGGGAAATAGCTAAAATGTTTTCTAAATAAATATTCGGTGTAGTATTGCTATATTTCGCTAGAGGGTGTAAAACAAGCGCGTGGTCACAGCTGTTGTATGAAAATGTTTCGAATGTCCGCTCTATAGTAGTGTAAATATATATATATATATATATATATATATATATATATATATATTTAAATCTCTTTGGTTTTGTATATATCTACTTGACTACATTGTACATATATCGTCCACACAACGCAAATTATTGCACTTAGTCGTTAAAAATATTCAAGTATTTGAAGTTCAATGACATTCATTCGAGAAATTTTCTTTCTACCTGTCTTGATTTTCTTTATAGGATAAGGGTAACAAATGAACTTAAATGAACTTACAGCAAACTTGATGATAAGTGGATGCTGTGGCCCATAGACATCTACATTTAACCTCGATTAAGAATCAAAATGCAGATGCATTGTAGCCCCGGGGGACTAAGTCTCCCATTACTCACCATACGAAACACAGCAGTATTAAGCAGCTTTTAAGCGACCCAGGTCGAACCGACCTATTCGTGCTACAGCCATAATATAACTGCAGCGTGGCTCTACCACGTTGTTGCCATAAAATAGTTATCAAAAGCGTTACTGAAAATCGTTTAAATAAAAAACATTAAGATGCCCAATAAATTTAAGCAAAATGCTGCAAATGGGAATAGCAACAGGTTTTCGTATCTACGGAACAAACTATCGGCTTTATAAATGGCAGAAAATACCAACATTTAACGATATGCCTCGTGTCTCACTAAACGCTATCCAACAGCCGCAGTTGAGTTACCTACCCGTGACTCAGTTGTTGAGCCATTAAAAAACCGGGCTGATAACGTATCGTGTTTGTACAGACACTCACACGCACCGCTGAACATCGTACCGCATCGCTTACGACGCATATCAAATAACAAGTGAGGATAGAACTGTTAAAAACTTGCGCTTGTAGCTGTATACGGTTCTAACCGCCAAATTACACATCATCATAGGTCTAGCGCGTGCATGTTTCGTTTATTTGCTTAATAAATGACTGCATTAGTGGATAGAGATAAAAAGGCAACGACATTCATAAAAATTGCAACATCGAAACGTAAAATAGTATTTACCATTATTTAAAAAAAAAACAAGTTTATTATCAGTGTGTTGGCGTAGCACACACTCTAAGGACACAAAGGCAGTGTCAAATAGTGGCAATCCATTAAATTGTTTTAAACGGTTTTACTTCAATATAAGTAATTGTGGGAATAATAATAAAATCATTATATAATCTACAAAATATTGAATAAAATTTAGATTTTTTTATCTACATCAGAGGACAGCTCAAATGTCCCTAACTCCAGTTGAAAATACAATTATTAGATCATCACTTTGTTATTTTGGTAAATGCTTACTTATATTATCTTTTCTTTTCAGAGACTCTCCAAAAAAAATGGACTCAGAGAAGACGACTCCAGTTGGTATTGGGATCCCCCAGCACAGTCCTCTAAAATTATTGACCATGACCTTGAAAATCAGTACAAAATACAAATACAAGCACTGCAGAAGGAATTATCCTCCCTAAAAGATCGAGATGAAGGTGATAATGAATCTAATAGTGAAATTTTTCGCCTTAAAGAAGAAAATAAGAATCTTATAAATAGTCTGGACGATTTGGACAGTCAGCATCGGTTGGCTATGGAAAAACTGCTCACATTAAAGACAGAACTTCAGAAGAATTTTGAAGTCCTTAAACTGGAACATGAGGATTTAAAAAATTCCAACGACGAATACGCTAGCGAGATAAAAAATCTACTTTTAAGAATTGGTGAACGTGATAAAGAAATTACAAATCTAAAATCTACAAGTTCAGATTACGATACTTTACAACATAAATATCAAAACCTGGAAAGGATACATAGTTTAATGAGAGAAAATGCTGAGAAATTTCAAGAAGAAAATCAGGATTTACACGAAGAGGTTTTCAAGTTACAAGAACAAGTGACGAAATTGGAACATGATTTAGAAGTTGCCGTAAAACAAACAGAATCAACAAACATGGTGCCTAGGGAAAAATATGAAGAAATACTTAAGGAGTGCGAGGCTTTAAAGCATAGAAGAAGCTTAAATCGAATACACTTAGACGAAATAAATATAGATGATAATGCTAAAGGTGTAATTGAAGCTTTAAAGCGGGATATAAGTGATTTAAAACATAAGTTAGCTCAGCGGGAAAATGATAATAATCGTGATATATCCGATAATAAAGTTATTAAAGCTGATAAAGTAATGCAGCTTTATAACAGATATGTTAACTTTGAATTACCTATTGATTACGTAGGCGAAATACCTTCCTCCAATGATAATATTGTATTATATAAACTTGAAGGCGTCTTTAAAACAGTAAACTCGTTTAAAAAAGATATCGACAACTTAGAACAGAAATTATCGGAAAAGAACCTCAATATTAGTAATTTGCAAACGCATATAGATGACTTAACAACTGAAAACGATTTCCTGACTACTGACATACAGCAGTATGAGAAAGAATTGGATGAAATGAAGAAAAATAATGATTTTCTTATCTCAGAAATTACTGCGTTAAGGAATGCATCAAAATTAGAACCCATTATTGAAACCCACGAAGATAATTATGCAAAATTAGAAACAGAGTTGGCAGATTGCAACAGAATAAATAAAACTTTTGAATCGGAAATTAAGAAAATAGAAAGAGAGTTGGCTGAGGTGAGAATAGAAAAAAGTAAATTACAAGAAAGTCTCGCTGACCTTAAACAAAAATATACGTCTATGCTTAATGAATTAGAGATTTGTAAGACTCAGACCAAAAATTACATAGAATTAGAAAGCAATACCAATATTGACAATAATGAAAAGCTACAGAAAACAATAGACGAATTAGATGATTTGAAAAAGCGGCTCAATGCTGCTAATGCTAAAAACGAACAGTTTGCTATTGATATTCACATTACAGAAAATGACAAGGTATTGCTTACAAAAGAAGTAGACGACCTCAAAAATGCTTTGGAAGTAAAATCCACTGAGTTGCAATCGACAAAAAATATTTTAGAATCAAAAATAAAGAAACTTGAAAAGAAGGTGGAAGAAACTGAGAAATATAAAGAAGATGTCGAAAATAAAAAAGACACACTTGCACAAAGTGCTATTTTTGTTACTTCCGAGTCTAAAGCTGACGGGGACAAAAACCCTGAGGGTAGCTTAATTTCTGAAAGACTGCAAAATTCCCATTTAGAAAATACAACGCTGAAAAACAAAATTGATGAACTAAATAGTGATATAAATCAATTAAAACTTTATATAACTGAACTCTCAACAGAAAATAATTCACTTAAAAATAGAACGACCGTAGATAAACAAAATATTGAGCTACTTCAACGAAGTATAGATGATTATAAAGAGAAAGCCGCCCAATCGGATATTGTAAACAGAGATTTTATGGCCCTTAAGGAAGAAAATAAGAAACTTTTAGAAATGAGGGTTAATTTAGAGTCGGAATTATTTTCTAATGATAAAAAGATTGTCAGCCTTGAAGAAGAATTTAACAAACTGGTGTCAGACCTTAACGAAAAAGATTCTTTAATTGATTCTCTTAATAATACAATAAGCGAAAATAATCTGACCTTACAAAATTTGAACGAAGCTGTTAGTAATTTACAAAATAGTCTTACTCTTAAGAATCAAGAATTAGAGCTTTTAAACAAAAAATATGAAGAAGTATCTGAAAACTTAAATCGCACTAGTGAAATTTTAAACCGCAGCCATGAAGAATTAAGTTTACTGCACACAGAAAAGCAGGAACTCGATAAACAATTAACTGCTTTAAATGATGAAGTGAATAATAAAAACACAGCCATTGCAATGTTGACTGATCGACTTGACAAATTGGAAAAAACAAGTCACGAGTATAAATCTTTAGCAGAAAGTAAGAACAAGGAGATAAAAGAGCTAAATCAGTCTTTTGTTGAGTTGACAGATAAAATGAAAACAACTGATAGCACTCATCAAAATGATGAATATGCTAAGTTAAATGAAGAAATATCGACGCTTGGACAAGTTTCTAATGACCTGAACAATCAACTTGAAATCAAACAGAGAGAAGTATCTGAATTAGAACATAAAATGAAGCAATTGGAAAATGTGTATATGGAATACCAGAGCATTATAGAAAAAACACAATCAGAAAAAGCTAATCTTATTAACCTAATAAATTTGAAGCATAACGAAAGTCTTCAGTACCACAATGAAATCCAAAGATTAAATCACGTTATTCTAGAACAAACCAATGAATACAAGAGAATAATTGAAGAAAAGGATTTGCTTTTACAGAATAGTACAAATAATTGTTCAAGTTGTGATAGCTTGAGGGTAATTATAAAAGAAAAAGATGAAATAATTATGTCTTTAAATCAAAATGTTAGTGAATATGAAAAACTAAAGACCGATCTCACTAATGCCGGCGAAGCCATCAAAAACTTGACCAAACGGTGCGAGGATTTGGACAAAAGTCTTACAATTCAACTAGAGACTGTAAAGAAATTGACAACAGAAAATGCCCAGGTAATTTATAATATATATATATATATATATATATATATATATATAATAAGAATATTTTCTTGTCAACTTTCTTTTGTGTTACTACAGCGTAATTGAAACTATTTTTTAAACGTTTTCTATCTGCGATTTTGTTTACCTTACTTTTATTTAAAGACTATTTTGAAGACTCTTTTTCTGCTTTTTACTTGTGTGTCGTGTGTCGAGCTTGATACAATCCTCCGAACTATTTACTGCCGCCAAGTTTTAGTTTTGTGTTTAGATTTGAACGGCTGTAGAGCTAGTATAATTACAAGCTATGACGCGTCCTATCTTAGTGCTGAAGGATAAAACGTCTGCGGTCTTTTTTCTTTGAAATGAATTATAGATCTACCATTAGGTTAACTGTTAGTCCATGTGTCACTCCAGTTTTGTAGAAATGCTCTATATTAATAATGATTTATCAATTTTTCCCAGTTGTCAGAACAAGAACAGAATTCAACAAGGGAATTAGAACGATTACGGCACCACTTGATGGAGATGGAAGAAAACTACACGCAAGAACTTATGACATCGGAACAAAAGCTTAGCGAGTGCCAAATAAGGCTACATCAAGTGGAAGAGAAAGCAAAACAAACTAGTACTGTTTATACTAGTAACAGGTATGTTCATTTTTAATTATTTATAATATATTGTGCTCGAAAAGAAATCAGTTCAAAATCATTAGTTTTTTGGTAAGCTCCAGTGTGGTCATTACCGGGTGGAATCGTTTTATTTGGGCTTTAGCTATAACTTTGATGCAATGTTGCTCTAATTTATTAATTACAGTTAATCAAGACAATGCGATGATAGAACCCAGCCGTCTTCTTTTATGAAATAATAACCATGTTATCATAAAATTTCAGTAAAAAACAGATTGTAAGTAGCTAATGCAGGAGAAGGCAACATATGCCTCCTCTGCGTTAACTCTTAGGACTAAGTAAAGAAGAATTCCTCACAGCCTGTCCACGCACTGCTGATTGGCGACAGAAATAGGAAAGTGGATGATATCTACTCAGATAGATTCCTCGTTAGAAAAGGAGTTCTTTCACCTGCTAAAAGTTTGGCCTTGCGATTGAGGGCAGAAATCCTGGCCGGAATCGCTGTTGTTAAGGTGGCGTTGCGTATTCAGTATAGACAAGTGTTCTAAGTTCCCATTTGGTGGTGTCCTACGTCGCTGAATCGTTCACCCGTTATCGTCCGACAGCTATCGTAGAAGGTGGCTAAGAGAAAATCCAGAAAAATATTTTTAATTACAATTATATACTCTGTTGGTGACGGTATAACGATATGCTATATAGCATATGGTAGTTCCAGGACTGCGATCATCAAACAGCCTCCAAGGAGTAACGATTATAGCAAATAAAGCTGATGCATTGTTCCATACTGAAGAAGAATCTGTGATAATGATTTGTTTTTTCTTTATAGCATACGAGCTAACCAAGAAGTAGAAACGTTACGGAATCAAATAAAGCTTCTAGAAAAACAAAGGGAAGAAGTTCAAGCGAGGTTAAGTGAAGCAGAAGATGCTAGAAATAGGAACGAAGCTGCACTTACAAACCTACAAATAGTGCTAGAACAGTTCCAATTAGGTATGTTACTAAATAAACTCGTGTATGTGTAATTTTTTTTAGTTTTTACTTAACTGATAATAAAAAAAATCTGATTATGTGATCAATACTTGAAAAAGAAGCAGAATCAAAAGTTAATAAATACTCATGCAATTTTTTACAGAGAAAGAAAGGGACATAGCTAACGCCACAGAGAAAATCAGAAACAAAATGGAAGAGGCCAAAAATCAAAATCAAAGGCTACAAGAAGAGATCGCTAGGTTGAACTCTAAACTAGAAGAATCATTAGCAGGTCTACAAGCTGCATCCAGACTGGGCGATCAAGTTGAAACTAAAACAGCACAAATCAATGATTTGAAAGAACAAGGTAAATTTGAAACTAAATTGAACACAACTTAAACTGGAACATTATTTGATTTGTGTTATGTATATTTTCATTTTGTATATAACGTAGTTTTATTGAACTTTTATCTTTTCATTACAAATATGGATCGATTTATGAATGTTATAACATATTATTTTGATATCATCAATAATACTGAAATCATAGATATGTCCAGTATAAAAAAATTATAGCTGTTAGGTGGTTCTGTGTATCTTGAAAATTTTTCCAAATCAAAATTTAAAAATTAAAATTACTTCATAACATAATATAGTCGTTAAGTTATATCAACTGTAAAATAAATTATTCTCATAAATGGAGATCGTTTAGATTTTGTTATTCTCCAATTTTAAGTATTTACAACTGTAATTTTTTGAGGACTGACTTATGGTGTAACGATGCGATGTGTTTCACTGGATATATCTTATATTTTATAACTGTCATCAAATTTTTAGTGGTATCTAGTTCGATTCTTTGGCAAATCCGGCTTCTGGCCAAATATCAGCTGGTAATTCTGGGGTTTTTACACCCAGACTACCAGTTGGTATACAGTTAGAAGCTGAATGTCTTCAAATTCAATTAGAAACTCGGTAGACACACGTAAGTTTTTGATTTTAGTACCATTTGTTCACATCTTGTAGTTGTGTAGTGTTAGTAGTGTTTGCTTTTTACGTGTGTCTTGTTAATTAAATCGTAGTGACTGTTTTCTTTTTTTTTTTTGTATGCTTTTATATGTTGTCAACACTAAGCAGTCCTTTTGCTAAAAATTCATAGGTTTTCTCTTTACTGAATAAGTAAAAAATAATACTCTTTGAAATTTGCGTTAGCTATTAACCAGAGAATAATAATATCATAATTACTACAACAAATGTCGCACGTATTAACTTTAATCAGTGTTAATGAAATTTATAGAAAATCATTTAATAAAATATTTCTAGTAATGATAATAAGTGATTATAAAATAACTTACTGTCAAATCAAATGTCAATACTTTTCTGAAGTTTTCCTACATTTTATATTCAAATTTAACTTATTTTTAAGGGACCAGCTTTTGCCTACTTCGGTCTAATCTCATTTGGTAACTGTGAGGCTTTACCATACCGCGGCCGTTGCTGTCAACCTGGCCCATCAGGCATGTGGTCATTTGTAAATGGTCTATATCGTTTGTGTCATATTTATACTTTGTGACACAGTAGTCGCCATTTGCTATCACGTTGGCAGTTGACAGTGCCGTGGTTGACTCAGATTACCATATGGGGTTTGACTGAGGTTTTTGGCTGCACGTCGTGACGTCCTGTGTTTTTTTTTTAAATATTTCGCTTAAAGTTATCATTTCGCAATTTTTGTTATCGGTCAATATTTTTGCATTTTCATGTGCGGCTTATAATATCTTAATCTTTAACCTTAAATAGAAGAAATACATGTTAAATTATTTAAACAAATGTCGGTGTGTAAAAAGATATTTTGTGCTTAGAAAGAATAAACGAAGGCTTAAGAACGTAAAACAAAATCGCTTGACAATCGGTTTCCTAGCTCTCGAGATGTTAAATTTTATTTAAAATTAAGTAAATAGATACTTTTTTAATACAGAGCCGTTCTTCACACATTTGTGATATTTTCTATTTGAAAAGATTATATTGTCCTAATGAATATGCATAAGATTTTAATAACAGTTCGTTACTAAAAGTAATTATTTGACGCAAAAATTTTGACCGAAATTGCATTGTTTTTCATCTTGCACATCACAAGTTTTGCAGCACACATTCATTGTTTTGACTTTCGATTATTTGTTTTCTTTTTCGCTAAGAAAATTTGATATATAGGCCTGGTGTTTAAATATATGACGGTTTGTTTGAATAACTATCAAAATTTCTTAGCAATATTATAAATTGTCTCTTTTAGTAAAAGTGTAGATTTAGCGGAAGCCTTCGGTAAAGCGGCATTGCCTCTGAGTATTACTTCAGGTACTGGTGGATTGTAAAAAAGGGATCAGGATTGTTTAAACTTGCGTTTTTTTTAACATAGTATATTCCGAAATGCATTTGGTTTATTAACATTGAACATTTTGATCGATTCCGTTAGGCTGAATTACCAATCGAATGGATCTGTTTGGATCATAAAAAACCAAAACAAAGGCACATTGTTATAAATTTGGCTGTTGCTTTAAATATGCTTACAAATTCACAAAGAAATAAAGTCAAGAAAAATTCTCCGAGTCACGTTTATAATGAAAAAAACGAAACTAATCTGACGATTAACTTTAAATATAAAGTACTTAAGCAGTACAAATTTATAGTATATTGCTTGGGTTGATAAACTCAAGGTGGTTGGTTATGTCACCAATGCTTGGACATTATAGTAACGTATTTACTTTTTCCTTTCCTGTCCTCAGTTCTGAATCTCCTATCCTCTATACATTGAGTTTTTTAATCTAAAGAACTTGAAGTCTCAAGATATTCCTTAATCAGTACCATGTATTAATATCCCAACCCCTGGTCCAATGTTCACGTTTACTGAACCAAATAATTTCGTTGAATTACAATCGCAAGCATAAACGTCCTCGGTTCCCTTCCCAGTGGCTGAATAATACTTTGAGGTTGTGCTCGCGTGTCACCGTGCATTCTGATGAAGCATCGACGGCTATATTGTGAGTGGTAAGAGTAGAAAGTAGATTATCAGTTTTGTTATAATTGATTTTTTATTTTATATTATGCCTTTTGGACTACTAAATTCGCCTATGACATTTCATGTGTATGTAACTCCCAAAAAAAGAAAGTCTAATAAAGTATACACTTGTATGTAGAAAACTGAAAAAGGAAATGGGTAAAATCATCTTAATGGTAACAAGTTAAAATTATAAAAAAAAACTGCTGTTGCTAACCCACACACAACACAAATATTCACTCTGTGAAGGAGGTCTATTTTCTACTGCTGAACGTAGGCAATGTAAATGTTGTTTCCCATATCCTATTTGAGTTTCCGTTTGTTGCCTCTTATGACACCTAGGGCATGATATGGTGTAGTGGACATTCCTTCACCGCCATTACACTACGGCATGACACGAACTAAGTTGTAAATAAAATAATATATTATGTTTTTCTTCTTTGCTCAACCTGATGGTTAACTGGTAGATAATGCCTGTTGGAAATAAGTCTGCCTGTTGTGTTAGTTACAAAAAAAGTTTTAACTAAGTGCAACCAAATAAAAATTATAAATATACAAAACCTATTAATAAAAATAATATTCTAACATAATATGAACACTCACGCCTGTCACCCAGAGGGGTAGTCAGAGACTACAGACTTCCATTTGGCACGATCTTGACACACCTCCCTACACATACATGCTCGTCAGTTAAGGGTATTCCTAATTTGGCCGTTTTCAATAAATCGCCAATTTGGTCGATAAATTTTCGTCTAGGACGTCCCTTTCCGACTCTGCCATTCACTTCTGCAACATAAATTTTCATCGTCACTCTTTCCTCATTCATTCTACTTCAACCTTATTATCCCGTTCATTGTGAAAGGATATTCTGTAATCGCCACACTTGGCAATATGCATTACCAGATATTTCGCACTTTTGCAACTCCCACCACTTATCGGTTTTTATCTGGTATTTGCGTCTGCTACTGCCATCTATCAGAAACAAAAACAAAAGTTTATTTGAAAAATCGTTTATTCGTTAAATGTATTTATTGAAAATTTCTCCAGTGCGAACTCTCCAGACTTCAGTGGCAGCTGCCGAGGAACGGTACTATAATGCGATATCAAATCAGCAGGACAAAGTTGATAAAAACCTGGTCAAGAACTTGGTCATGAATTACGTTGTCTCGGCTGCCCAAAGTAGTATGAACAAGTAAGTAAAGTTTATGTCAATGGCCATAACATACTCTCTTTATCTTACCATGAGAGTTTACCATAGGGTGTCGACCTCTCCCTCTGTAGAAGTTTAATCCTCAACATGAGTTGCTGGATTTGTTTTCAGTATATACGTGGTAGAGCCACGCTGCAGCTATATTACGGTTGTAGTACGAAAAGGTCGGCTCGACCGGGGAGGGACCGCACTATCACAGAATACCAGCGTAAATTAGCAGCTTAATACTGCTGTGTTTCGTATGGTGAGTGTAGACCCGTTTTACTGGAACTGAGGCATTCCATCTTAGTCCTCAGGGGTGACAACGTATCTGCATTTTGATTCTTAATCGAGACTAAATGTCTATGGGCCACAGGGTCCATTTACCATCAGGTGGCCTTGTATGCGCAAGCACATGTGCACTCTCTATTCCCTCACTCAATATAATATTGGACACGTCCGGAGAGAGATCAGACGCAACGCAAACATCTTTACGTACTTCCGATGCATGAAGGTGTAACACCGTCAACTCATTTTTGTTTTAAATTTTTGTAAAATATCACTGCCATAGGCTTCTACTCCGTTCACATGTTACACCCTATTTTTTTCCAGACGGTTAAAAATGTATCCTGTATATTGTGAATATGAGTCATTTTGATCTATAATTTAAATATTTGTTAATTTATTCACCAGAACTCGGTTGACCGAGCTTTGCTCGGTATTTTTCGCTCGGTTTTTTTAATTCGTGTGTTTTGGAAATTATATTTAGATACAAATTACATACTGATGAAATACGAATAATATTTTTTGATCTTAGCGACATAATAGAAAAAACTGAACTGGTTATTTGAATAAAAAATAATGAGTGCAATTAGTTTAATTTATATTTTCGTGTTTTTAAAAAATATTAAAAAAAAGGGCTCGAAAAAATAGATTTTCTCAAAAAAAGAAAGGAACTTGAAAAAAAAATATTAAAAAAGTCGGTCGGTCGGTCTTGGCTCGAACCATGGTGTTACGATTTTGTGACCGTCCAATATACCAATTAAGCTATTTGTAATCATTAATAAACCATCAAAATTTACCTTCTTATTCTAACGATATTGTAGCAGTTTTTCACTGTCTAAAAACACGGACAAAAAGACATTTTCTGAAAATAAATCCCAGCTAAATCGATTTATTGCCCCCGAAACTCCCTGCACACAAAATTTTATGAAAATCGTTGGAGCCGTTTCCGAGATTCCGATTATTTATATATTATACAAGAATTGCTCGGTTAAAGGTATAGGATAGCGCCATTGGAATCTAGCATATCTATGAACCAACAAACACACCAACAAAATTCTATGTAGTGAATATTCAATTCAGTTCAGTCTTTGGTTGTTGTTTTTGGTCTTAACTATTAAAAAAAGTTCAAAACAAGAACCCTGCAGGGGCACTACCAATATTGGCAAACATTAATGTTATTATTACATTCACGTTATAGTATTATTTATAAAATGACGAGAATGAGTATGAGTTCATAAGGAAAAACATATTATTAATGGATATGGGGTCGTTCAGAAGTTACACGATCACTAACAGACTTACCAACGTTAATATTTTATTAATGATAATGTCTTCTACACACTATACATAGTGGTACGGACTGATCATCATACCTCACAGTCAATATTTATCACAAAAATCTTAACTTTCCAGGACCCAAGTCCTACGCGTCCTGTCCACAGTGTTAGACTTCAACCAGCAGGAGTGCGAGAAGCTGGGTCTGGTGAGGTCATCTAATACTGCTGATAGCCTGGCTGCAGAATTTGTCAAGTTCCTGCAAAACGAATCCAAACCAAGAGCGCCGCTGCCCAACATGATGGGATTGGGACAGTCCAGGAGTACCACTCCCACTTCGAGGAGGAATTCTACCATGGGTGAGTTTTGTATAATGAAAACTTTACTTCTTTGCATGACTTCCTTGTGGAATCGACTAGTACCATCGATTTTTCCTGACCGGTACGACTTAGGGACATTTTTTATAGAATTAGAATGACAAGCGAGCACACAGGTCCCCTGATGGTAATTGGATTCTGCGACACATAGACATCTACATCTATTCTCAGTTAAGAATTAAAATGGAAATATGTTGTCACCCCTGAAAACTAAGATGGAATGCCTCGTTTCCAGTAAAAAGGGTCTCTGGTTCTTTACATTCACCATAACAAACACTTTTTTTAATAGGATAGGGTGACAAACAAGCACACAGTCCACCTGATCCGACAGTGGTTGCTGAGGTCCATAGAAATCTACATCTATCCTCGATTACAAATCAAAACGCAGATACGTTGTCACCCGTGAGGACTAAGATGGAATGCCTCGTTTCCAGTAAAAAGTGGCTTCGGTTCTCTACACTCACCATACGAAACACAGCAGAATAAAGCTGCTATTTTACGCTGGTATTCAGTGAGAGCGTGGTCCTTCCCCGGTTGAGCCGACCCATTCGTGCTACAACTATACTACTAAGTAATATAACTGCAGCATGACTCTACCATGTAAAAAATATTCTTACACCGCCACTACTCAGTTGGTAGTTCTGGACTTGGGATCATTCGCTATTTACTATTTACCAGACTGTCCCAGAAAGAGGGTAACGATTTTCAAAAGTAGGTATATATGTCTAATTCTTTGGCACACTCTGTAGCCTAAATGGTTTGATGAGTATTTATATATTCGTTTTAGTTTTGCATTTGACTTATGGTATAAAAATTTTCTCTTTTCAGTCAACTTTTTAATGCAGTCGGAGTTTTTTTTAAATTACAGTTTTAACGCTTAAGCTTGTTATCTGATATTCTACATTGAATATTTATATGTACTACTACCAATGCTACTGACAGTATCGATAGAAAACTCGAAGATCGTTAATAATATCGACAGTGTAAAAAGGGTCTCTGGTTCTTTACATTCACCATAACAAACACTTATTTTTAATAGGATAGATTGACAAACAAGCACACAGTCCACCTGATGGGAAGTGGTTGCTGAGGTCCATAGAAATCTACATCTATCCTCGATTACAAATCAAAACGCAGATACGTTGTCACCCGTGAGAACTAAGATGGAACGCCTCGTTTCCAGCAAAAAGGGTCTCCGGTTCTCTACACTCACCATACGAAACACAGCAACATTGAGCTACTATTTCACGCTGGTATTCTGTGAGAGCGCTGTCGTTCCCCGGTCGAGCCGACCCATTTGTGATGCAACCACAATTTCCACTAACTTTAAAATTCACAGTGTACTGTCCACGGCTGAACATAGGCCTCCCCCAATTAATGCCACAAAGCACGGTCCTGAGCCACCTGCATCCATCGACTTCCTGCATGTCTTACCAGATCGTCAATCCATCTAGTGGGAGGTCGCCCTACACTACGCCTACCGGTACGAGGCCTGCCACTCGAGAACCTTTTTTCTCCATCGGTTATCGGTTCTTCGAGCCATATAACCGGCCCATTGCCACTTCAGCTTACTAATCCGTTGGGCTATGTCGGTCACTCTGGTTCTATTGCGGATATCCTCATTTCTGAGTTTATCACACAGTCAAACCCCGAGCATAACCCTCTCCATAGCCCGTGTGTGATCTTGAGCGTCCTCAAGGTCGCTCAAAAATTGAGTTGCATTGGAATGCATGTATAAAAAAAATTAGAATAGAATTGAATAGAATTATTTTTATTCAATGTTGAATAATGGCAAATGGTGCTAGTCCGTTTAGGTATCCAAGATTCATCGTTTCTACAAGCTACAATCCAAGTTTGCCGCCTAAAAGGATCTTTTGGAAATCTGTAAAAACAAACCAATAATAGAAAAATTTACTACTTTTTGTAATACTTTATTGTAAAAGCTAAATAAAAACTACAAACCGGTTCGGCAGACAAACCCGCATGGTTAATTAACTTATCGATAGCTAAAGTTGTGGCGTTCATCACTATAGTGCAATACTTTCGGTTGCAGTGATACCAGTTTATTTTTATTAAAATTGCACACTTTTGCTGCGAAGTAGCAAGTTTCAATTTGACTTATTTCTTTTGTATGATATTTAGATAAATACTAGTTATCGATTATATTAAATTATATAATATTCAGTATCGTGTTGAAATTGTGCTAAATATATAAATCATTTAACAAAATCCACTACACATCTATATGTATTGATTATTATTCATCACATGTAGTTCTTATTAAAAGTTATTTTTTACTTTTACCACTGGTTCGGAAAAAAACTTCTACCAGCAAGTACTCCACGGGACTAAAAGTTTTTTAACTCTTTTAAAACATATTATTCATACAATTGTTACGCAAACATGGAGAAACAGCATAGTGGCGACCACCTCATACCATGTACTCTTTTGTGGTATGATAACCCTTACTAAACAATTTTTGCTTTATAAATATTTTAAAACTTTTGATAGATAAGGCCTGCATGTTTTCTGGGTCATTGCCCCATGAGGAACTACCGACTCTTTGGAGTCGACTTAGTTATAGTTATGAAAAGATAAGGGTGATAAAGGTATTATTTGCTCAAAAGGAGACTCCGGTTACTTAATATACATACTCTAAAGTAAAAAATTGTTTAATTTATAATAATTTCAAATTATCTTTCCAGGGCCAAACCCAATGTTCGACCCAAGTCACAAAAGAAATCCATCGACCGGCTCCAACAACCTCCTCTTCCAGAACTTAGACAACGTGGACACTGCATCGCAGCATTCAACTGAGTCCGAACCAAGGGTTGTAACCCTCAGTCATATGGAGACAGGCGTCAATCAGACTAGAAACAATGAGGGTGCCATCTTGAAGCATGTTTTGAAAGATATGTGATCTGCGATAACTAGCTTTAATTTGTAGTGTTTTAAATTAACTGGAAGGAGAGAAGACTGCGAAATAAGTGAAATGGGAATTCGAAAACTTACAACAAACATATACGACAGTTTGTATAGCCTTCAAATATATGTTTATTCATTTTGCATATTGAATGCTTCTAGAGAATTTTCAGTAGACAGTTTTTTTTCTTTCTTTCTTTCTTTAAATAATGACAGCGTTGCCTTAGTCACATTAAACACAATCAGTGTTAGAATGTTGAAAACAATGTACGTGGTTTACAAAACAAACAACTAGTATTTTCGCCTGATCGCAGTTGACTAAAGAAATTACGGAAAATTTACCGTAATTTGGTGCGCAGTTTACTAGTACCGTATAGTGCCCGATTAGAAGTGTACATGGAAGTCTTTGGTGTAATTCCATATTTTAAATTATTGTTTGCATATTTTCCGCGGGACTTAGACATTATATAATATATTATTTTTTTATTACGGACTCATACTATTAACAATTTTGCTTGTTTCCAACTAATTAAAAACTTTTATTGTCCCTATAACTAACTAAATAACACATGGAATAAAACCAATTTTGCGGATTCTATCGAGTTTAATTTAACTTTTTTTTTGCAAAATTGTTTACCCTAAATTGATTCCGAGACGAATTCACACCGAATTACCGATTACGATAGTTTCCAAAGTTGCCAAAACGATTTAAATTATTTATCGTTTTTATTAGAAAGGGATGACTTTATTGCTACGGTGATCGTATGAGTACACGATAAGGTCCGCCACAAACTACAACACGTAACATAATTGTTTCATTTATAATAATTTCAAATTATCTTTCCGCTTTTGCTTTGAGAAAGTAGTTTGTTCAGAATCGTTTACTGAATCGATGCCTATTCATTTTTAATATAGGTAATTTTTTATCCCAAATATAATTAAAACTTTTAAGAATGCAGTTTTATTTGACTTTGACTTTTACGAATGCAGTTTTATTTGTATTATTACTAATTCTGTCATTCAACAAAAATAAAGAAAAATGATCTTTATTTCAAGCACGTTAAAGTCTTTGCGTTCGTGGATTTGTACTGTGACCACAACATTCTTCCGGAATTAGTATAACTAATTTGATAAATAATCAGTGCATAAAAAAGTTTAACTAAAATTCAGTGTATGTATTATGATTATAACATAATATATAAATTAGGGTGTCTAAGGGTGTGCATTAATTACGTTACATATTGTATATACGAACGAACGCACACATACGGCATCCCGTTTTGCCCGCAAAATATCGAACGGAAAACCACCGTAAGTGTTACGGGTCATTGATTTTATATGGAGTTGATGCGTTCGGAATCCCGAAACAGAATTCCGTATGTATGTGGCGGCCCTGATACACTTATGGCCAAATACCCAAACGCTACTCAATTTTAAAATATCGTTAAGTCTCGTGTTGTCACACTCACCTTGACTTAAAGTGATAGAGACAGCACGATACTTAACGTCATCTTAAAATTAAATATCATTTGAGTATTTGGGCATAAATAGCACTGGTTTTACGTTATTTATTTATCACAGAAATTATTATGTACAGAGTAGCAATCTGCCTACAGTTACGTTTCCGTTTTATTTCATAGTATTTGTTACTTATTTGGATCTGTATTTTTATCTAAACACATACTACGTAATATTTTTGTGTATTTATTTATAAATTTATTTATAGTGTTCATGAATACAATTTTTTTTCTTACGATTTATTTTAATCACACATAAAACTCTGTTATAACTATGCCTAGCTTAAGATATAGTTGGTGTATAGTATTATGTTCACATACACACTTGTATATACATTATTGTATGTGCCTTACGCGTATAATTCAAATGTGCATTTAGAATATATTCTTGTATTTGTTGGTTCAAAACTTATTGTTTTCATATTTTATTTATTCAAATGTGAAATAAAAGTTCGTCCATCCATTTCTTTCTAAAGAAATAAACAATGGCGCCAAATCATTTTGACATTTCACTTTTTAATAATTTAGTTTTCGAACACATTGTTTCGGGTTACTTCGCCTTTTCGACATTATTGTAATTTTTGTAGCATGTAGTGTTTTAAGTTGTAAATTTTATACTCCTACTCGTTAATTCATTTTTATTTTGTTCAAATTATTGTAATTAAGTTGCATTAATTGTTTCAGAATAATTTTAGATTGATTAATGAAATAAATACAGCTGCGTTATTTTTAAATTGTATTATATTGTATATTACAATTCCTAATTTTATTTACGATATACGGAATGACTTTTTTACCGAGAGGGCAAAAATAGGGTGTGATATATGAATGAAGTGGGAGCTTATTATTCTATAAATAAATACTAGATACTCATTTGAAGTAGCTGAGGAGGTTAGAGAACAGGAGAACGATCGCTACGTGCTAAAGCATAGCCCGCCTGTCCTTGAAAATTTGTAGAATTTATAGCGGCGCTGCCGTCGGTGAGTAGTGACTGCGAAGTAATTTTTTACAAAAATAAACATTAAAAAATAGTGAAATATTATAACAAATAATAATAAATCAATAATAATTTATAATTTATATTTGTAATAACTAATAATTTATATTTGTAATAATGAATAATTTATATTTGTAATAATTTATAATATTTATTTGTAATAATTTATAATATTTATAACAATTAAAATTAATGAGAACAACAACAAAAGCAGCGCCTCACTTATTTTGTCCATATTTCTGGGACACTATTTTATACAGCGATCGTTCTCCTGTTCTCTAACCTCCATGTAGCTGACGGACGGTTCAAGGTCAAGGGAATTATACATTCCATCACCCACTTAACTTGAGTTTATAATAGCTCTTTCTATTTTACAAAGTTGAAAAGTGTACTTTTAAGAAAATAAATTTGAAAAATATCAATGCTCTAGGCTCTAACTTCGTTCACCTAATGCAGTCTATTTTTTCTTCACTGTAAATTATTAAGATCACCCGGTAAATTTCGTTACATTTAGTAACTTTGTATTGTATTGGTAATATTTTATTAAAAATATTAATGTAGATTTATTGCAATACGGATTAGATAAATTTTTATTGAACTACAATACGTAGTTCAATAAAATCTTTCGCCATTATTTCCGCACTGTAACATAATGTAATTATTATTGTAAATTTAATTTATGGTTATTGTTATTAAATTGTATATTGTTAATTTCATTTACGAAAATAAATAATGCTACATCTTATTTTGGTGTTTTGTATACTAGCAGTGACAACCGCGTGGGCTAAGTGGTCAGATGAGTGTTGCCAACTTTTTATATTAAATAAAGTTTTTTAAGGCTATACTGTAAAAATAAAGTAGATGTAAATAAAAAAAATTATAATATACCTAGTATGTTTCAGATCAATTTTTTTAAGGTATATGTTTTGCTGCTTTGAGCCTTTTTTAAAGTCTCAAAGCAGCAAAACATATTATACACACGCAACAATCTGCTTGTATTTAATGATATTAGTTTCGCCTGCTATATATATTATACATACATATTTTTGAATTATTGTATTTGTTCCCAATTATGTATTATTATATAATCGGATGTTAGGGAACGTGACCTGAACGATATTAGTTTTAAGCAGACAATGGTTCGCAGCTGTTCCAGGATCCGGTAGGTGGCGTTAGATTTAATAGCAAGTTATATATTTATTGCCAAAAATCGTATTCACAAACTAATACGTTGTTTTAGTAATAATATGTTGCCAGTAAAGAAAATCATAAAATCATGACTCGATGGATGGACACTTTTTTCGTGTTGCTGATAAATATTATATTTATACTAAAACTAAAATGTCCAAAGTGAACTGGGAGTGAAAATCATCACTAGTAATTTCCGATATAAATGGCTGAACAACTTCACCCAGGCCAACTATCGTAGTATTATAAATTAGACTGGGCAGCTCTAGATTAGACCCAATAAAACTACAACGTTTCAGTACTGCTATCGAGTGGCTTCGAATCCCAGCCAATGCCAACATTTTATCAAGACCTATTACCTGGTTGGTGGTATTTGATGTCCATTAAAATACTACTGGCACTGTATTTGTACACGCTACTTTTCTATCTATATATAAATAATAAAAGGTAGGTAGTAAAAGATAAAGTACAGTCTGATGTGGGTGGATGGTGGTTCACTCATCGACTGTCTCATTGGTCTAAAGCGAGTCACAGCTTACGCAGATACGATAATATTGTTACGAGCTTGAGGTTCGTGACAATAAAAATTGCCTTCGTTGACTTCGGGTACGGACACCCTCCGTTTCCTCCTTAGGTAAAATCGGCATGATTTAATCTCACTTTTGACACCAGTTGTTACGAGCTTGAGGTTCGTGACAATAAAAATTGCCGATAAAATTACCTAAATTAACACTTTAATTTACTTTACACAAATTAAAACTAAAAACACTAATAATTAAACACACTAATTCACTTAATTCCGCTCCGAAGCTCCACTTGTGTCGCCGAGTTCAACTCTGCCCCGATCGCATCTTGCAGCGCCTATTTATATAATTAGCAAAGAAGCGTCCCGAACATTCAAGTAAATGCGCGCCAGGCAACGAGTATTCGAGTGTAGATTTTCCAGAAACTTAGTTCTTCGGGTGGCGCTGTCGGTCGAGTGATTTGTGATGTCATTTTCTCAATGCTCCCCCTCGCTCTCGTTCCTGACGCTAGATGGCGCTAGTGTATCGTCGACTTGAGCGCGTAACAATATTTTATCTGCGTATTAAAACTTAATTATCTGAAAGTATCACATACTACGCAGATACGTTAATATACGAAATGATGCATTCACTCGAAATCCTTCAAACTTACTAGACCAATTTTTGTTAGCGGACTCTTTATATAGTGTTGCTTACAATGAGTTTGCGTATATTGCTTCTAGATTTGCTAGACAGCTCGTCAGAATAGGTTTCAGATTTTGAATTTTATGCACGAGTTTCATTAGCATTTACTAAAAGACGAAGAATCTGAATAGAACGTCATATAACGCTTAAAAAGTACCGAGGCGAATTTAATCGCTTTTTTTTTCAGGGACAAGTGAGTTTAGAGACCAGAACTTTTTATTTCATGCTCTGTCTAAGTCGAGTTTAGATGTACTTGTCTATGGCCCACAGCATTCAGTTTCAGATAAAATGCCTACGTTAGTCACTATCAGCAGGTAAAATCTTATGTCATATTTGTATCTGCAGATATATTTGTCTTTCGATATAGGTCAGTGCTTACAGATACGATAAAATATAAATTATTTATCGGCGCTATGTGTGTTAGTACCATGGAAGTTTTCTCTAACCTCCATGGTTAATACGTTAATATTCATAGGGGGTGACATTGACAGATATGCGCTCAGGTACAGATATGGTATCTGTGTAGTGTGTGACACAAAAGCTGTGATCACGCGCATGTATTACCCTCTAGCGAAATATAGTAATACCACACTGAATATTTATTTAGAAAACATTTTAGCTAATTCCCAGTAGGTGACACTACTAAACATAAGGTAAAAACCCGTTGTGGGCACATCGTTAATCACTAACATATTTGTAAATAAATAGTGACGTTACTGGATAACAGAGGGCACTTACTACAATAATTTTTCTTTCTTCTCGAACAATCTATTAGAAATAACAAAATTTAAAGATTATTTGGTAAATACACATTATTTTTACGATAATAAACCGTAATCACGTTCATTTTTTGCTCCATATAGTGATTTACAATACTTAAATGCACAACCAGGCATATTTTCTTTAAAAAATATTTTTAAATTTATAAAATGAATCTTGACCTTTTGACGATGTCACTTAGACTAAACGACAAAAATCGGAGATATATCCTATAGGACAAAAGTTACAGACGAGAATTTTGTTGCTAATGTCCGGTCTATTACTACTACCTATTTAAATGTCTTTGGACTCACTGAATGGCCGTGGTACACGCGGTTGCCGACTATGAGGTCCTGGACTCGAATTCCGGGTCGGGGCAAAATTAGTTAGGTATTTAGTTTTTTTGCGAAGAAATTCTCAGTGGTACTGTAGGTTGCTATGTTGATTATTATCAGATTGTTTTACATTATATTGGAAAGGTTTTCTGTCATCCATCTTTCAACGACAGTTAGGAATTTTTTTTTGGATAAATCAATTTTAGCGGCGAAAAGAAACCATTGAACCAACTCAATCATCATTACTATAAACTTGTGAAGCTGGTAACAAACACAAGATCCTGGACTATATTACTCTAACACATAAACATATCTTAGCTGTGTTTGATTTTTACTCAAGTGTAACCTAGCTGTTTTTGATAATGACTGGCGCCATATTGACATTACAATGTTAGTGATGTTTCCTACAGATGTCGATAGCATGGACCAGTAATTAAAACATGTTTTCATGTAGATATTTAAAATGTCCATAAAACTTCAAATAATAATCAAAATCGTTATGAAACAAAAACACGTTTTCTCTTTTTAATCAGACTTTTCTTTTCCTTTAGGAACAATATTCTATTCCTATGAACTTAAAATTTTTCTTATTACTAAATTATTCTTATTACTTATTACTTTTAATCAGCTGTTTCTTCTTTTTCAACAAAAACAAAAGTTCATCAACAAGTTAACAAAAAAACAACACTTTTTCTCTTTTTAATCAGACTTTTCTTTACTCTCAGAAACAATATTCTATTCTTATGAACTATATTAAACCTTTTCTTATTACTAAATCAGCTGTTTCTTCTTTTTGAACACAAACAAAATTTAAATTCTTAAATCCACAGTATCATCCCTACATTCACAATAGTTTTCATTATCATCTTCCCCTCTTTCTGAATCCCCCTCTTGAATAACTGGCGATCTTATAATATTTACATAAAACTGACATTCTGCATTGGTTTCCCATTCAGCGCCAAAATGCTTTTTTAATAATGCATCGACATCAGTTATTTTTGCACGATTCATGGGTGCTCCTAGTGGCACTGTGGATGGGACTAATCATATTGTTTTTCATTCCAGTTTTGCAAAGATTTACTGCTTTACCTATATCTGAATTAAAATGCAGTTCTCCACGAATAAGCACATTTCCAACAGTTTTGGATCTCTTTAAAATGAATCTTTTGCATTCACTTATTTTAAAAGGCCATCTCTCAGTCGGTTTTAGGACATCTTTTGCGGCACTTCTGAAGTCTAACATTTGAATGTCACGCATTTTTGTAATGGTTGCATTTGTTGCAATGATGTCTATGTAATCTTCAGGTCGAATGATTACTTCTTGTTTTTAAGGACTTTTTCAATGTTTCCGAAAACTCGGTCTGGTGGCATGAAAGAATGCCCAGTAATGGGGAAAACGACTTCAATTTTTTTCAGAGACGTGTTGTCGAGAAGCCATCTTGACAGCATACATAGCAACATGCTATTCTTGTTCTGCCCGCCACATACATCAGCTACAAGACGAACAGTGTTAATCCCTTCAAAATTAGTTTTATTTAAACGGTCGTACACTGCAGAGGCTATCTGGTTAGATGTTTTTGGAAATTCGTTCTCTGTCCACAAATATGCATAAGTTGTGTCTTTATTCAGGTGATCTTTAGAAGAACCCTGAACAATCGTAAAATTGTAGAGATATATTTGGCGACTGTAGTATGCACTTTGGTCAGGTACTTTGGGTAGGGGATTATTTTTTTGACAGTCGAATGAGAAAGTGATCATATCGTCTGATTTTTCCTGAAGCAATTTAAAGAATGCTTTTGCCCTGAGCCTGTGGACTCTTTTTTCGATCATGAGGTCTTTCTTTTTTTACTTGGTCGTTTTCCATTTTAATTTTCCCATCCAATTCAATGCATTTCGAGCAAACGTCTGTTCTCGGATTACCGAATCCTAAATTGAAATCTTGGTTGAATATTGCACGAAAATAAGACTTCTTTACAACAGACTGAGGATTTTCGGTTTTGAACATCTTATAAAGTTTGTTTATACTCAAATCGCTGGTGCAGATATTTTCGTTCTCGTGTTGCAGATCGACAGTAATGTGATTCTATGCATTTTAACTTAATAATAAACTGCCTAACTATATCTTTTTGATCCTTATACTTGTTTATTTTATGATTTCCTCCCCCTGTTTTCTTTAGCAATCTGTCCTGTATAGTAAAACACCTTCATAACAAATTCCACTCTATACTTTTTTATTTGCAAGGAACTCAAAAAAAATGTTTGGCAGACAATCACAAATTTATTCTGACTGTTTAAAATCCTGTACTGGATATTAAAATCTCTTCTAAGCCTTTTATTTTGGTTAGGACGCCTTCTTTTAATTTGTTTTATTTGACAGCACTTAAGAAGAAAAGCATCTTGACAGCTTTTTTTTCTTGAGGCATAAAATGATTGGTGAAATTTTAGAAGTTCATTCATTGTCAGGGTTGCACATTTTAGCGTTGGGTTTTTATGTGAACAGTTCACTCTTTGAGGTAAAGCAGTTGAGGAGTATCTGTGAAAAAAAAAACATTTGGTTAGGTACTAGGAACCTGTAAAGAACTTAACTCCTGACGAAAAAAGGGGTGTTATTAAACATACTACTAGTTTGTAGCTATTATTTTACTTAGTAGGTACAGCACTGGTACTTGTAGATAGGTTTGCATACATAGTAAAAATTATAATAATACATTATTGGGAGATAAAATAAAATAAAAACAATAATAAATATTTTTAACGCTCAAACTTCTCTATCTTAGCACAATTTTAGTTACAGTTAGATCCTCCATGTCCATCCCTCCATGTACCTTAACGAAAATACATACTGTATTAGCGTTAAAGTACATGGAGATACATGGAAAAATAAATATTGCGAAAAATGAATTTAATTCGATTGCAATAATTTATCTTTATCTATACATTGTGCGGAGTGTAGAAGCGAGGCACATCACTAACCTTTCTCTCTTAGCAATATTTGCCTTCCAGTTTTCTTGGTTTCGTGTGCGTTTTCGACCTCTGTCAGTACTTGCCGGTTCTACAGGGACCTCCATAATAGTCGTTTCACAATAAATTTTGCACGAGAACTCACTAAAAACACTAAAAATACAATAAAAATATTAGGTGTGGCTAACGCGGTTGTATAGAAATCGCCATTTTGTTTTCGAGAATTCAAGCGTTGTGATTGGTTGTTTTATCACCTAGCTGTCTTTGATTGCGACCTAAGGTGACTTAGCTGTATATGATCCCAAAATCAATTTTTGAACGAAATTTAAAGGGCTTTAGCTGTATTTGTTTCTTACAATAATAAAATAAAGAGTTACAACCAAGAATTCACTAGATGGCTCCATACTTAGTTATTTTTTTTAAAGTTTGTCGCTTAGCTGCCTTTGATTCTATATGCCTCATATATGCCCAGGAGGCTGTTAACGACCCATTCTACTTACTTCGATAAAAATGCGTTGCGAAAGGAAACATTAATAAATTATTTGTTTCTAGCGCCATCTTCTGCTTATCTAAAGTACTACTTCATACATGCGCATCATCCGTACTCCGGCAAGAGTGTCAAATTTGACAGATGGAAAGTTAAAATTCAGTTGAGTTTTTTTGCAACAAAATTGTTCACCCGCGCTAGCAAAATGTAAGTATTTTTTATATAAACTTCGTTTTACATAACTTATGCATGAATATATATATATATATATATATATATATATATATATATATATATATATATATATATATATATATATATATATACTTTAGAATATTTCTAGACTTTTTTTGATAAAATTTGCATAATCATATTTTTTTTTGCGATAACAAGTTAATTATATATATATATATATATAGGGCATATAAGATACTTATATTTGGCGTTTTGCAGGTCTCGTCGATTGCTTTGCACTACTGAAAATGCTGATGCCCTCGAAACTTTGGAGGAGGTGGAAGACATTCAAGGTATAGATGTTTATACAGATCCACCATGTAACGGTGAAATTTCTGATGGTGACTCGGGGAAAGAAGACTATTGCGATTTTGATAGATTGAATCGGCACCAGCTTCTCGCGCCTGCTGAGCTAGTAATTCACACGTCGAAAGATGACCAGCATGTTGAAATCGAGGCTATTGACCCTGAAATCTCTTCTCCTACTCCTGCTAAAACTCGACGTATGCCTAAAAAGTCTCAACCAGCTGTTACAATAAGTACTAATGAGCAACTCAGGCAACCGACGACCAGTTAAGACAGGCCTTCTACTAGTCAGGAGCAGTCTAGTAGCAGTACTACTAGTAGCAGGTCAGGCGCATGTCCATTACTTCAACAGAAACCAAGACGATGGACCAAGAGAGACTTAAATTTACCACAAAATGTCTGGGTTCAACCACCTCCTCGAACCGTACTAACTTTGAGTAAAGAAAGTGAACCTTTAGAGTTTTTTGAGTTGTTTTTCAGTGAAGATGTAATTCGACATCTTGTGAGACATTCTGTTATATATGCAGTACCCCAATACAAAGTTTACTTTGTCAGGAGATGATATTTACTGTTTCCTAGGAATTCTCATTCTTAGTGGTTATGTACCTTTACCCAGACGTCGAATTTTTTGGAAAATAAATGAAGACACTCACAATGTTATTGTTTCAAAGTCAATGCGCCGCAATCGTTTTGAGGAAATATTCAAATATTTTCATGCAGCAGACAATAATAATTTGCGCCCAAATGACAAAATGGCTAAAGTTCGACCATTGCTTGATTTTCTGAATGAAAAATTCTTGATGTATGTACCTTTAGAAAAAAATTGCAGTATAGACGAATTAGAAAATATAGACGAATGATCCCATATTATGAAAATCTGAACAACGATCCACTGGACTTTGAGAACACGTAGTTACTAAGATGATGGAAGCTATGAAAAAAGAATACCCTGAAACCCAATTTTCAGTTTTTGTGACAATTTTGACCTCACCAACTCTTATAAGCAATTTGCAGGAGAAGAACATCAAGGTAACAGGCACTGTGCGCCAAAATAGGATTGATAAATGCCCATTAATGGATGTCAAGTCTGTCAAAAAGCAGCAAAGAGACTATTACGACTACCGTTAGAACACTAACGACCAAATATGTGCTGTACGCTGGAATGACAACAGTGTTGTTATTTTACTCTCCAATGAATACGGTGTTCATCCAATTCAAAAAGCAAAATAATATTCGGCAGTCGAGAAAAAAAAAGGTTGATATTCAGCAGCCTTATGTAGTTCAACAGTATAATCGTTTTATGGGCGGAGTCGATAGACTAGATGCCAATGTTGGGACATACAGAATTGCAATTAGAGGTAAAAAATGGTATTGTAGCATTATAATGTGGATGATTGATTTAACCATCAATAATTCTACTTTGCTAGCTAGATCAATGGGTGCTGAAGTTGACACTTTGGAGTTCAGACGTTCGATTGCGCGTTCCTTGTTACAGAAGTATGGAGCGCCAAGACTTCACCCAGGACCAACGACACTGCCTGTTTTTCGCAGTAATGTACCCATGTCTGTTCGGAAGCACGGTGCAGATCAATTGATCATAACAGTTCAAGCACGAAAACGTTGTGCTGTTTGTAAAAACAAAACCACCAAAATAAAAAAAATGTGGTATAAATCTACATAACAAGTGTTTTGCCAATTTTGATGAATAATTTTGTTACGTTTGTTATGAATAAAAAAACTGACTTAAAACATTTTCTTTCATTTTATTTTGATGTTGGATTTCCATACAAATATGTAAGTTTATTTGCCCAGTGGGTCGTTAACGACCCATTAAAAAAACATGTTTCCAATACTGAAAACCTGAATTTACTGCCTTTTGCTAGTATCTAGCACAATTTTATGCACTTAATCCAAAAATCATAAAAATTCGTTGCTAAAAAAGTTACGGGCACATATGGGCTAAGAACACTAGTTGATGGTTTTTATTTTAGAGTTGCTTACAGGAATTATGATGGTTTGAGCGCCATCTGTCAGAAACCATAAGAACTACCAAGTTTCTCTTTTGTTTAATGTTAATGTTTTCAACCTTTACGAATATAATGGGATGATTGATCTTAAACATATGCTATTACGAACAACAAATGATAAACAATATTTTATTACGTATGATATTTCTGAACAAATAATGTATTAGCTAATTTTTTTATTTTACATTATGTACAGCGCCATCTGCTAGGAGCTAGTCATAAAATCATGATGTTTTATAAGCAATTTTATTTTATATACCTACATATTCACTTATTTAGTAACATAATTTTTATGGAGTGTAGAGGTAATAATTTTAATTTTTCGTGTACATGCACTTTTTCATAAATATTCTTGAAACCTAGATATTTCCAGTTGAATAATATTTCGGCTCTGGTTATACAAAACAGTAAAATAAATTTGAATTTCTATTGGTTTTATTTGAAACTATTCTTTTTCTGTTATTTTAGCTATTATTAAATATATTTATTTTAGCTATTATTAAGTATATTTTAGCTATTAAAAAACCCAAGTTTCGTTGGCAAACCAACGAAACTTGGGTTTTTTAAAAATTTGTAAGTTGGCGTTTTAAATGTATATGTATGTAAATGGTTGTACCTGCTTATATCATAAAACTTTCTATAAAATATTGATAATTAAAATGTCTGATGTCCAGACTTCGTAAACAGTTTTGATATTAGTGATTACCTACTCAAAATATTATTACTACCTGGTAGTGTTGCGAGCAGGAGGCCTCACGGAAAAGTTTTTGTTTGGAGGTGAATAGTCTGCTTGCTTTGCGCATACTGTGTTCACGCTGCGCTCTCCGACTGCCGGTTACGCTCCGCCCACTGCGTGACGCGCAGGTGAAAAACTAATTTGAAATCGTGCTTAGACCTCGTCTTAATACTTAAAAAAAACTTCCACTGCACATTCTACAATGTTCATATGTCGCTTTAAGTTCAGAACACTCCATCGTTTTCTTGGTTGCCACTGCCATCATCATCATCGTCATCATTACAAACTTTTACAAATCCTCTACTGAGCATAGACCAAATCTAAGGAATGTCAATACATGGTTTTGAACCACTTGCCTCCATCGATTTTCTGCTTGTTTACCAGGTCGTCATTGCATTTCATCATCGTTAAAATTATATTTTACAATACTTATACCTACAGAAATTGGTTCCATATATTTGGTAGTATTTTACCCAGATTGCAATCATGGCGGCATGGCGGAATTCAACACTAGTTGTAAAAGATGAAGCAAACCGTTTGGTTCAAATGCGTGGAATACATTGACTTATATATTAAAATATCGACAACATAGGGTGAAGGTGTGTCTGATGGTGGAAAAAGAGGGAGAAATTAAGGCATGTAACTCCTGTGTGTATTTGCGAAATACATCCTATAGAATACCAAGAGGCTGGCAAATCTGCGCGTGTGCTCGATGCTGAAGATGTTACACAACTTGTTCCGTGTGACAATTAAAATTAACCGTCTAGCAGATGCTAGTATTTAGACTTTGTGTCAGCTGCCCAATAAAGCCAAATTATTAAAACTACTTTTACGGATTTTATTTATTTTATTTTAATACCCGACGTTTCGGGTGCTTTCCAGCACCCATGGTCACGTGGGACAGGTGACTGACGTCCCGATGTCAAAGTTAACCCGGAGTACCTACAGCTTTTTAATTATTGTCTTTGGTGGTGGTGGTCCCAAGCAAGTGGTAGTACCCAGCCTCCTTCTCTATTGAAATTAGGATGTCTTTTTATTTTGATAGCCTCACGTATTATCCTTGGTAGGAATCGATGTTCTTTCGCGAGGATTTGTGGTCTGTCAAATCTGATGTAATGGATGGGGCCATATAAGATATGATCACAAACCGCAGACTTCTCGGAACGATGATGCTTCACGAAAGCACCCGAAACGTCGAGTTTTAAAATAAAATAAATAAAACGCGATAAAATCCGTAAAAATAGTTTTAATCAATGTGTAGCTTTCGCGTAAATATAAGAAATCATTATGTGGTGGCGTTTTAAAAAGTTAAACCACATGGACAAACATCCGGGACAATGTCCTGATTGCACAAGCAGAGTGTAGGCAGAGGCAGCATCGTATAACGTCTGGTTCGTCTTATTTTTTAAATAGAATGTGGGCGACCAACAAGCACACACTCTAGCTGATTGTAAGTGAATGCTGTGGCCCATAAAAATCTACATTTATTCTCGATCAAGAATCAAAACACAGATGCGTTGTCACCCCTGAGGACTAAGATGGAATGCCTCGTTTCCAGTAAAAATGGTTCTCCGGATCTCTACACTCACGATACGAAACACAGCAGTATTAAGCTACTATTTTACGCTGGTTTCTGTGAGCGCGTGGTCCTTCCCCGGTCGAGCCGACTAATTCGTGGAACAAGCATGATATATCTGCAGCTTGGCTCTACCACGTAAAGTTTTTTATCTTTTTATTCCAGTTTCTACGAACGGGTTAATACCAGTCAACCTCGCGGATAAACTCAGGCGATTGTGACTCCGTGATGAACCAATCCGGCTAAGATGCAGTCGGTGCTTTCGATGTTACCAACACCGTCCGTCGCTTTCGATCCCTTTTCTATTAACCCGCGACCGTTTAGTGTTCATTGCCGAGGGCTTTCATGGTTTTATTTATATATTAATTAAAATTTATTATACCTTTTTCTTTAAATTTTTTAAGCAGTTACGCATGTTGACTTTTGTAATAACATACATATGTTGATATAAAGAGCAAGGTGTATTGTCTTTTCGATTCTTGTATACGCCCTTTACAGTGCAATTTTTATGGATCTTTTATACGCATTACGACATTTTACAGATCGGCTTCGTTATAGTTGGACGTTACAAATTGAAATAATACTAGTTTTTACGGAATTTATCGCGTATATTTAACTTTTTAATACCCGACGTTTCGAACGCTTTACAGCACTCATGGTCACGGGCGGGACTGAGATGTTCAACGTCCAGATGTCATAGTTAATCTATGGTATCTACATGACATAACATCTACAAGACCCACCGCAGAAGAACACAAAAACTCTCCGATCACACTCTTAATCTCATAGCTGTTAGACGGTAGATGAGGCTGCAATCGTCAACAGATTTGACAGCATACAGGCAACTGAACAGACAGATCTCCAAATGCATGCGGCGAGACTTACGCAACTTTAATACTGCTCGTATCAAAGAAGCGATCGAGCGGAACCAGGGCTCCAAAGTCTTTAACAGAGATCTGTCCGCCAGAAACAGCCATCTGTCAAAGCTGAAGACTGAGTGTGGCAGCATCGTTTCCGGGACAACTGAGATTTTAAGTGAGATTGATAGGTTCTATGGGCACATCATCGTTGGAGCCACACGCAAGTGTGAGTAACGATCCAAGAGCAAGTCTTACCCGACACTATTCCGATGATATCCCGGACGTCAGTCTGAGCGAGATTAGAATGGCTCTCCAGCACCTTAAAAAAAGGCAGGACCCAAGGCGAGGATGGAATTACAGCGGAGCTTCTGAAAGCGGGTGGAACACCGGTACTTGAAGTCCTTCAGAAGCTCTCCAATTCCGTCCTCCATGGTGGCACTACTCCGGAGGCGTGGAGCAGAAGTGCGGTTCTTGTTCTTTAAGAAAGGCGACAACGCTCTCTTGAAGAACTACAGACCGATTTCCCTTCTGAGCCGCGTCTACGTGCTTTTTTCGAGAGTCATTACGAATCGTTCGCACGCAACTCGACGACTTCCAGCCTCCCGAATAAGTCGGTTTCCGAAAAGGCTTCAGTGCCATAGACCACATACGTACCCTGCGGCAGATTGTACAGAAGACCGAAGAGTACAATCTGCCACTTTGCCTGGCGTATGTGGACTATGAGAAAGCCTTTGATTCCGTCGAAATTTGGGCGGTGCTTAAAGTCCTTCAGAAGCTGTTCAATTCCGTCCTCTATGGTGGCACTACTCCCGAGTCGTGGAGCAAAAGTGCGTTGGTCTTGTTCTTTAAGAAAGCCTCACGAACAAGCTGGTTTAAGAAAAGGCTTCAGTACCATAGACCGCATACATACCCTGCGGCAGATTGTACAG